GTTCCAATCGTACCGAATGCAATTAGTTAAAATTCAAATTTCAAATGTGTTATTTTTCAGTTATAAAATATATATATAAGTTCGAAAGATATTAAACAGTAAGTTAAAATAATACACAATATTCAAGAATATTGTAATTTTTTCGTGTTATTTCTATACTTTTGTGTTTTTTTTATCAATTTGTGGTATTTATGTATATATGTACTTATCTTATGTCTCATTATTTATCATGAAATTTATAATTTGTATTGGTTGTAGTTTGTTTTGACCTTAGCTAGTTAATTTGGATTTTGCTTTACGAAATATTTAAATAAAAAGCAATGTTTGGAATATACTAAGACACCAATAAGAAATAAAAAATATCAACTACAATAAAGAGCACTGAAAGAAAGAAATATTTACGCGTCTTTTGTCTTTTTCTTATTTTTCCTGGGGAACAATCACTAATTTATAATAAGACTTAATGTATGTGAACTGTAAATAAGAAAACATCCCTCATAATTCCCTGCAGTAGAGAAACGACGGTTAAATCTCCACCGACCTATTTCTCCTGTGAGTTTCCGGGCGATTATCTAAAGCTGTGGTAGAGGTACACCTGGGATTTGCCACGTACAACCAAACAACGTTAACCATTCTGGCTGAGAGACAACTAAGGAACAAACTTACCAAGTCAAAAGTGTTTACATGAGTCAGTATCATAAAGCTTGTGAAAGCAGTATCATTATATAATCGCACATGACATATTCGTAAGATATATATGAGTAAAATGCATCTTAATCATACCCTATCCTCATTCTTAGTTTTAAAAACGATACTTCTCTTTTTTAAGTGTTTGAAATTTTATCATCACAGTGTACCACACTAAGGTCTTTCACTGGTAGGAAAACATTAACCTAGATATAATGAATTCACTAAAAAATAAAAATCATAAGGTGTAATTCAGAATATCTTCAAATTTGAATCTTGTGTTTAACTTCAGGTTTAAGGAATTTTTTAAGCAACGTAACTAAAGAAATATATGTTTGTTAACATTTCGTTTTTATCATATTTTTCATAATTATTCAACTTGATAATAACTCTGTTGCGTTTTTCATCAGCTAATGAAATTATCTAATTAAATATATTTGTTATACGGACATTTACATAATTGAATAACAAAAATCTATGAAAACTGAACTATTTTCGTAAAGGATTACGAATTTTCACGGGGTTTTAAATAATGAATGTAGATTTTCTTATGTTTTTATTAAGTGCACAATATATCTTAATAAAAATGTAACTTACATTGTTTTACATTACCTACTGAATCATACAAGTGTATGTAGTTATGTTTATTAGGCACAGAATCTCAGAACATTAATCTATACGTATGTTTTACATTATAATACTCATTGATTTTACTTGAAATTAGTCACGATGAAATATATCTGATGGCTCAATATACCTATATGTTAAGAACAGTTTTCGATCACTTTGAAAGTTTAAAAAATATAAAACTTGAACGAAATTTGTATATGTAAAGGAACATACTTTTCTCATTAAATAATTTTATTTCTTAATAAAAATATCTATTACGAAGTTACTCTTCACTGTTAAAATGTCGCGGTGAAATGAACCGTAAAGAACTACATTTACACATGTTTAAAGTTTCTTAGGTTGTGTGATGCCACAAAAAATTATGGCTTTTGTAAAGAGTATGTAACAGTCATAAAGATTTATTCAGATCGGGAATTTGGAACTTCTAAGACAGAGATACCTCTTGTATTTAATAGCATTGGAAAAAAAAGTATATAAATCAAGTTGTAGTACTAGGTCCATCCAAAATGTGACCTGCAACAAGTAGTATGATAAGCAGCCTGCCTTTTCTTGTAACAGGTGGTAATCCATGAACATAGATTGCATGGCCAGGTGGTTAGGGCGCTCGACTCGCAATCTGAGGGAAACGGGTTTGAATCTCCATCTCACCAAACATGATCGCCCTTTCAGCCATGGGAGCATTATAATGTGACGGTAAATCTCACTATTCGTTGGTAAAAGAATAACCCAAGAGTTGGCGGTGGGCGGTGGTGACTAGCTGCCTTCCCTCTAGTCTGACACTGCTAAATCAGGGACGGCTAGCGCAGATAGCCCTCGTGTAGCTTTGCGGGAAATTAAAACAAATAAACAAACAAACCATTAACATAGAAGTCAGTGTCAAAATTCGTTCACGTGCCACAGGCAAATGTGTACAATATAATGAATAAGGATCTCTGTCTGGTAAAGCGACACACGTCACGCTAACAACTTGCCTCTACAACATGTTCTTTCCACCGTCACATACTTCAAGTAGTTGGAAAATGAAAAGAGTATCCATTCTTACCATACGAAAACATACTGATCAAGTCAATAGAAGTTATTAGTATGGATTTCTGTGCGATCGGACTGTCGAAAAGCGTACTGGAAAACCATCGTCCTTGTACAGTAGATGGCTTTTGAAAAAAAAAAACAGAAAAAAAAAAACTGAGATGAAGCGTGTGCTTTGGACTTGAAAACCTTAAGACTAACCTTTTTGGAATTAAAACTACCCTATAGACATGGCTAGGCTCCAAAAGCAATTTAGCATAACCTCTGTAACCATCAATTAGGTATTATGCTTAATCTTATTGGATTTGCCTTACAAGTTGAGTTTACTTAGAACTATTATTTTTAGGAGTATTTTGCTTTTATCGCAAAACTAGTTAGGATTTATGTTGAAATCAATAAAGAATTACGGAAAACGATTATATTCTTAAATAAAAGTATAGTTCATTCCTAATTATTTAAAATTATCAATGGAAACGCATATAACTTCGTTTTAATATTTGTATTTTAACAGCATTATATTTGAAATTACAGTTTATTTAGGCTTATTTAAAATGTAATTGATTGATGCATTTCCTCCAAAGATAAAATTATTAATATTGATTTAAATTCTTATGTCAAAGTTAGCTTCCAATGTTCATTTTATTTCTGAGAGATATAACTAAAAATCAGCTGATGATACTTTTCTTACATTTGGTTGTTGTCTACTTTCCCAATTAAAGTAACTAATGATAAGAAAAAATAGTCTCAAAAAATAATATTATTTCCAGAACAAATCAGTTTGGTTTATTTCCTTCTTTGTCAATGAATACATACATCGTGATATTAATTGTCTTATTTTGACTACGTTAAACATATCAGAATAGGTTGGTGTTATTCGACGCATTTACAATAACATAACCTAAGCTTTCCTAATTTAATTAAAATGTTAATAACCTGATATATTATCAGTTAAATTTATAAGCACTATCCTTTTTCTTATTTAACAACACAAAATGGCAATATTAAAATTTCCTCCAATCGCATCCTTACAAACTGTACACATTAACATTCAATTGTTTTTGTTAATCTTCCCATTGCAGGCACTTGTAATTTTACAGTTCTAGAAAGAAATGTTACAACATTACAGTTACATGATTGATCATGATTCTTCCCTAACGTCAAACGGAAGACACTGTAGTACTCCATCCTGATGTGTCACACATATCCAGCTGAGAGCAAAGAAGAATGAAATTGAAGTCACACAATATCACTTCAGTTTATCCACATATATATACAACATCATAGAAAATAATCACATATTAGAAACATGAACTTCATTTCGTGAGATGTAAAGTAAATAAGCATCTAATAATACTTTTTAATTAACCTATAATTTGAAACATACGAATACTTTAGCGTCAAAACTTTTGAAATGAAAACGCTTGCTTTCTTCTGTTAGCTTGTATGTGATAATATTGTACTGAACTAATATATTTGTACAATTTGTAATGTTTATTACATCAACTGCTTTTCCTTTGGAGTTCTATTAAGCAGACGAATCAAAATCAACTCACTGGATATTCTAAATTGCTACTTTCTCCTTTGAAGATTGGGTTGATGTTATGTGTAGGCAAATCATCCATCTCGAGTCCGTAGAATGTATCAATTTCTCGTCGTCGTGGTATATTTCCATTCCCTGCGGTATAAACATTATAAAGTACATCTAAGAGGTTAAGCCAAGCAAAATATTTCAAAAACCAACATTCAGTTTCTTGATTTACAAAACGAGCTATAAATAATTAATGGGATTTTAAATTAAATCTGACGATTCTCTAATCAAACTGTGGAAACTAGAGACAATATTAGTTGTTGAAATAATTTAAAATAAACCGTTTTAATGGGGTTTTATCTATGTACAGACACTCACAAATATATATCATAACATGAGAAAACATGTTCTGATTATTTTATGTAATTCAAGAAAGTATGCATTTCACCGTGTGCATATTTTAGTTCAAATACGCCAACATTTGTATACTTAGTTTATTTATCATTGAATCAATAAAATAATATTTTGTTGTTATTCATGTGATTCACAATTTACGGCCATTTCATTTATATACATGGTTGAAAAGCGATTATGAAAACAGTGATGAAAATTTCAATAAAAACAATGAATACGAGAATGACACCTTCTATCACGAGAAAAAAATTATTGCACCAGATTATAATCACCTGCTGATGACTTACACTATGATTGGTTGTTATCTAATCAATCATAATGTGCTACATCTGTACAAATACTATAAAGACACATATATTCCAGTAGTATGATCCAGTTAAGACAGGTCAAGGACATCCAGGCAAAAAAATGGAGAAAACATTATTTTTCAGTAGGACGTGTATAACACTATTAATAATCGAAAAGTGATAGAAAAACCCCAAACTTTGAAGAAGTGATGTTAAGTTGTTAAGACAAACGAGTGTTGAGGACAGAGCTTGCCAATAACATTTCTGTAAATATAGTAGTGAATGTTATCTCCAGAGCGGACAGGCCGTAACATGAAATGGTTTCAGTGGACGTGATGCTGCTCGAAAACTGTAGATTATAAGAGGTAACTAAATCAAAAGGTTGAAATGCTCATCAGACAACAAAAAGTGCATTGAAGACAGTTAGTTGGAGACGTGTGGTTTTTATAGATTAATCCAACTTTGAGTTGTTAGACAAAAAATCAACGGCGGTTTGTTCTAAGCGGAAAACAGAACGCTATAGTAGTCGATATACACCATCCAGAATGAAGCCTGGTGAAAGATAGATACAAATTTACCATTGCATTTCAGCCAATGGTATCAGTAATCTACATAAACCTGAAGGCAACCTGAGAGATGACACATACAGGCATATTTTCATTTATGTCATTTCTTCAAGCACACGAACCATCAGCCAGGAATGTATCTTCCAACAAGATAACGATCTAAACCATACAGCAATTTGATGAAACGAAAATTAGAAAACAAAGACTCCAAGGAAACACTGGTAACTGTGGTTTTACCAGTACAAAGTTTCGAAATAATCATCTTTTGACTGTGTGAAATCATGTAAAACTGAGAATATATAAAGACGATCAAAAATCTTGGCTAAATTGTGAGAGATAGCACTGGAGATTTGGAAAAACTTCCAAATTGCACATTGATAAATTGTAAGGCAGCATGGAGAGAAGGTATAATGTTTTGCATAAGGCAGAGAGTTCACATAAAAAAATGATATTATTGTATTGCACAAATAGTTATATCTTTTATATGGTCTGTGATAATGTTTGCACTGTTACATAAACTGTCTAGTTTCCATTACTAGTTTTTGTGGCGTCTGGATGTGAATCTTTCGTGTTTTTGCATGATTATTTTCATTATTGTATAGTTTGCACGTCTATGTTATTGAGAAATATTTGTATTAATTTCACTCTTAATGTTATTATCAATCGTATTCTGTACACCAAACTTCCAAAACGAATTTACTATAATTAAACAATAAGAATAGAATAATCTCAATTTGTATACTTCTAAGTGTCTCCCGATGTTTATTTCACATTATGTTGTTGCGGATCTTTGAAAAATATAAAACATAAATTATATTATTGTTTATTTGTAATTAAGCACAAAGCTACACAATGGGCTATCTGTGCTCTACCCACCACGGGTATCGAAACCTGGATTCTAGCGCTGTAAGTCCGCAGACATACCGCTGTGCTATTGGGGGGGGGGCATAAATTATATATGTTCGTCAAATTAAAACATATTTTTTGTCACAATAAGTTACTCTGAAGATCTAGAGAAGAAAAAAATATTTTAGTTAACCCTTGACAAAGTGTTTTCATAAACTTATTTCCTAAAGCCTCCCCCACCCAGTGGCACAGCGGAATGTCTGCGATAGAAACCGGGTTTCGATATCCTTTGTGGGCAGAGCACAGACGGCCCAATGTGTAGCTTTTTGCTTAATTACAAACAAACTTATTTCTACATCTCACACTATATACACGACTTCGAAAACAGTTTGGGAAACATATTCTTATATGCTGTAACCGAATTATGTTTTATATTTGTAGATAAAATTTTCAGCATACCATGACATGTCTTAATAGTCTAAACAAATGTTTACTACATATAATGTTACATTGCACTGCAAGTAGTAATCACTTACATTCTTCACGTAGTTGAATTAACCCTTTTACTTACTTCTAGCTAACCTTTACACATTAATATGTGTACCATTTCAGTTACTGTATAATATGTATGTCATAAAATTCTAACTCCATGGAGAATAATAGGTCCGAACCTATTGTCAAACTATTTAATTTATATGTTAGAACATTTAAGTTCATATATGCGTGCGTACTCTTCCTCATCTGTTGGTTAAGGTCAGCTATTATTTGTTACGTGGAACATCTTGGACCTAGGGTCATTTGTAAATTTAGGGTGTGTAAATTTCAAGAAATTTGAGCGTCAACCTGAATTTCTCACACCAGTAAACATGTTAAGGGACTTTTTGTGAGACTGACACACAGAAGAAAATGCAGAACAAATGACAGCTAAAATCGAACTTTAGGAATTTGTTTTTATTTTAAGATGTTAAGTATATATATATATATATATATGTGTGTTGCGTATAGAATTCGTATTTATCTTCTCAAAAGAGACAAAAAAATATATAAGAAACTTATAAAACAAAGACGAGCCAAAACTGAAAACAAAATCTATAAAGCTTAGTATTTCATGTATAATTGTGTTGGTGCAATAATAAAACAATTTTTAGTATATTTAGATCAAGTAATTTAAAGTGACGTTTGCACAAAGACGCAAGTGAAGTGTAAGCAAAGTGTGCGTGCAGGTTGGCGTTATGAAAATGCGTGACTTATGCTCTTATGGATTTCAGAAAGGTCAAGATGTTCAGCGACTAATAAACATAGAATTAGTGGCACAGAACAATCTATGCAGCTACCGGGAAGATGCTGACCCCACACTTAGTTCTGTATGCTTCAGATGCTGTGAAAGAGCGGGACCATGCTATGGTCTGGTCTCCTGACACAGACACAGCAATACCATGTTTTTATTTCCCCTACACGATTAAATTAAATGATATAGTTCAGTACAGGTATAAAGGATAAATCTCGATATATCCCGTTACATGATATTCCTAAGAACTTGGGACATGACGTCAACGTACTCAACACTTTGTATTACAAAACATATGTAAATAAAACATCATTATGATACAATAGTGAGTTATACTTGTCAGATATATCTTTACAGTTTACATACAACTTGCCAATAAATTAATTCCCATTGAAATCAAAACCTTATTAATCACGCAAAAATACACATTATGATTAAAATAATTTGGCTAATATCGTACTATTTTTTTGGGCAATATATCTTTTAGAGAATATTCTTAGCAGCATATTGATGATTTTGTAATATACACCCTCATTTATTCACTTCTAAGACAGCACTTCATAAGGAATATGATGAAATTCCTTAGAAAATTCTGTAAAAAAGTTGCAATGGAATGTACTACATCCATTTTTCTCCAATCAATCAATAAATCTCTTTTGAGCCCATAAACTCAAATTGTTATTTGATAAAAAAAAATACTCGTAGTGTTAAGCAAAGAAATATGTTGGTAATTATCTTGTATTTACGTCACCTTCTTTGAAATAAAGACATACAGCATCACTTCTATCTCTTGGAAAGCCAACCCGACTCCATTATTTAAAAAAAAGCAGTAATGATCTTATATATTCTAACACCTTTAAAAAAATGAATCAATCGATAGAATAAGTATTAACACTCTTCTTTAAAATCTTTCAATCTACGTTATCTTGACAAGTTCACTTTTCAAATTATCTTTATATCAATCTATAAACGATTTTTTTTTACTTTTTATTTGTATTTATGAATACATCAGTTACTTAATTTATATTGCGATTTTGTGAAGATTTTTATATTATATATATTTTCTGTCCATTTATTCCATTCAAATATATTACAGTTTTTTCTGTGTTTGTTTTCTCATTTTTCCGTATAGATTCTAAGTAAACAACTATAAATTCCATTTTGGCAAACCCATTCTTTTCGTATCTCATTTAATTTCCATGTGCTTCCAGATTGACTTATACTAATATTACCAGTCGATTGGCAAGTTAAATCGCCAAAACAAAAGGAATTTACAAATCAACAAAATAATAAATTACTATCGCACTCTTTAAACCAATAACGCAGTACATTTCAGATAAAGAATGTAGTAATATTTGTAAAAAATCGCTTTAATATCCCGTTACATTACGCACTTTAAAATGATCAAAATATTTATTTTTCATCTTACCTAGAGATAACTCAGTTGGAGTGGTAATAGCTTCTGACCTGATTTTACTGGTAAAATTCGGATCGATATTTTCTTGTGGACATGATTGCCTGCTTGAGTATAATAATAAAAAAAAACTGAGTTACTAAAACTACAAATTCACCTTAATACATTAATATATGCAAATAATTTATCTATGCAAAGGGATATTGTCTAACTTTATATTCAACTTTTATCTATATGACAAAAAAAGTAGCTTATCAAACTATTTCCTGAAGTACAATTGGTTTTGTTCTTTAAATTCTTGCTACTGAATGGTTAATTGTAAAATACCAAAAGCCTAAAGTGAAAAGTCAATATTTCTTTCTTCTGGAAAACACTGCAAAGCACAATGGATTAATGATTTTTATTTTATTAAGATAATTACTACATTTAAAGTAACTTCCTATAATTGTTTGGAAAGCTCAATAAGAAAATAATTTGAAGACATATTCAATGCGTTTCATGAAAATTAATAAGCTCGAGTATATGCCATTACTAACAAAACCGTGTGATAAAGACATTCGCCAGTCTTCTTCTTATTTCAATTTCTATATAATAGTCCTCTTTTTCTTTCCTAGTTTGTCTTCGTTTCCGTTAATCAAGTGACTATAGAAATCCAGTTTAGTAATGTTATAAGAGGAAGAACATTTTCCAGGATTCCAGTGGATAACTACTAGTTTTGGTGACCAATGACACATAGAGATAAATAGATCCCTATCTGTCCTCGAATTGCATACAGTTTTTTCTTGCTTCACTTATGTTCAATTGATTTTCACTTTATCTTCGAATTGAACTTTCTGTCCAGAAGATACTCTTTATCGACTGTCGCCGTTACAATTTAATCTACAAGGTCTATCAAACAGTGATTGAGCTAGCGGGCAATATCAAATTTTCACCAACTTGGTCAACATACTGAAAAACCTTCTTGGAATGGAGAAATCCGTTAATGAAGGCAAACAGGAAAGCAGGATTTTGTATAAAGGAATGAAAGTTTCCCTAGTTATCTTGAAAGTATTAAGTCTATACAATTTCTCCATGCGCCACTATTTTATGTGAAACATAGACGTTTCTCTTGGACTTTTATTCGTTTTCCAATGGGACAGGAGCATGTTTCTTAAATTATATTGAACCTAACAAATTCCTTGGTTGATGTTTTTATTATCCTTTTTAATTTTTATACTTCTATGAGTTGTGAACATACTGTCAAATTTTGTATCGTTAAATCTTCAAAATATATATACATCACAAATGTTATATCACTACATACACACAAAGAAACTCAAACCACATGTACATAAATATATATTACATGCTAGTAATAAAGCAAACACACACACTTCAAGAAAACATAAACATATAAATAATAACTTAATAATGTTTTTTCCTAAATCTAATATAGTAAGGTATTTCATTCTCAAGAAATGTTTAGCGCTTCGTAGCATCATTTAACAATATATTTTTTTATAAGAAATACTTACTAGAATAAAAGTCTTAACGCTATTAGGACGACTTTAAAATGTACTCTGTGAAATATGATTCCTAGATTTGAAGACGATTTTCACACAAAAAAAATTGTAATTACTAACAGGGTGGCCTTTGTTTTAGCAGTTGTAATTATGCATGAGCTTGAAGTACAACCTTTCACAATGTCTATAGACCAACGAGGCTTTCCACTAGAAGTATGGTATGTAAAACAATAAACTCGAAAAACTGTCTAAATTTGCATTATTTCATGAACCACTCAGTTGTAAAAAGTACAGTAAATGTTTTATCTCTCTTAACTCTTTCCTTCACTATCACCAATAATAAAAATTCAGTTTCATGTAAGCAAAACCATGTATATAAATATCTTTCCTTCATTATACTTAACATTATCCATATAATTTGAATATATATTATAACAGATGAATTATAGACAATTTTATAAAATTGTTACGCAGAAAACTCCATCTCAGAGGCCTTAGTTAACCTTAAAACACTGCTCTTAGCAAAAAATGTATCCATAACCATACATCGATAACTTTTTAAAACACTTGCAAAACATAAAAAAACAAGTATTTAAACAACTAAAGAACAATATCTACTACAACATTGACATTCATGTACAATATGGTCGCAGTCAAAAATTTACAAAACAGATAAATATTGTATAGCTACTAGTAAATTAACACTAAAATATGGCAAAGCACTCGGATAACTTTTTGCACATATGTCTTTCTCATCAACAGTATGTGACACTATGAATGCCTGCATAACAATGCCCGTTATTATCCAGTTCTTTATGGTTCATGCCTCTAATACCTATTAATAAATGTAGTTCGTCAACTTTAATGCAATGTTTATGGGGCATATATATTGAGGAAAAAAGACATTTTTACATATACACATATATGTATCTCAGAACGCAAGAATGCATCGTACAAATCTCAAAATATCATTGTTTATAAAACCATGAACCACCACCATAAGTCAATAGTCACTCTTACTTTACAATAACCATATTTTGTAAAACGCAATATTTTGGATGAAGAAAATACACAGAAGCATTACTTAAAGAAGAAAAACTTAAAAACATGAATGGTATATTTAATTATAAAAGAACTCGCACTTACAAGGAAAGACACATATATAGTACTTTATTTCACCTAAAACCTTAGTTTGTTTTTAACTTTAAAAAATACATAAAACATCAATCACACCAATATACTTCTTTCTTAATCTTATCATCACCATTTAATTGTCGTTCTGTTTGTTTTTCGCTTAAGTGATTGCTCAACAATTTCTAAACACCACTATTCAACATATTCATTTAAATTATTTGACATATCCACCCTGTACGCACGTGATACTACAGAAAAAAATAAACCCTGCTATGTACTAGAATTATCACTAAGATATAACGATGTATAACAGTGTTGAAACACAAAAATATGTTGAATAAAACATCTTCATCATTGCTAAGGTTTCACAAACCGATAAGACTTCCAAAATTTATTTTGCTCAAAATTATAAAGATCATGCTGGCTTGAAACATTTAAAATTAACATATGGCATTGAAATTTAAAAAAAATAACGGCAAATTACGTTTAAGATAAAAACATGTGAAATTAGAACAAATGGTATAACCTGAACAGAGATTTTCACGTTCTATTGAAATTCGGTGATAAAGTAAATGTTTTATGATGAAATCGTCCAAGAGTCCACACACACATACGTGCAATTACTGTGCTGCCAAATTACAAATGACTTGATTATTTTTCTATCGATAAAGAATCTTGTTACAATCAGGTAACCACCACAAATCATAGGATCATCCCCCAAAAAATCAATGTTTAAGGAAGTTATTATCATTGACTAAGACCATAACATAATAAATAATTACTTAATATTTGGAAAATGTTTTACATATGCTATTTTTTAAATTATTTTATTATTCATTTTTTTCTCAGGTGTGAAAAAAAATAAGAGGTTACTTTTTATTTTCAAATGATACTAATTAACTTGTAGAATTTGGCTTTGGAGCTTGTATTTCATACACATTTGTCGAAATATTCTACAAAGAAAATGTTTATATAACGACGCACACATTGCTCTCTCTTATATAACAACCCCCCCTCGTGGCACAGCGGTATGTCTGCGAACTTACAACGCTAGAAACCGGGTTTCGATACCCGTTGTGGGCAGAGCACAGATAGCCCATTGTGTAGCTTTGTGCATAACTTCAAACAAATCCTTATATAACAATGGTTTGGATAAACAGTCAATCATAGCTTATAAGAAAAGCCATATGCGATTCTGAAATGCACTGAAACGGTATTAAAAATCATTATAACAATTGCAGTAGCTTGCGTATTTCTTTTCTGTCTGGTGAAGGCTGTGTTCTCGGATAAACAAAGAGTGTTTCTATGTTTTTTGTAAAATACATTGTTGAGCCACATTGTATAAGTTGACAGAATGTATGTGGTAAGATTAAGTGGTTTTGATATGGAAAATTTAGTTGCGTTGTAATGCTACTGAGATACTTAGACTCTGTCACACTTCCTTACAATATTTTATCTTTGATGCTTAGGAAGAAACAAAACACATATGTTTACCAAAATTATTAATAAAGTCACTTACACGGGATTCCTATATTAACCCTTTTACTCTTGTGATTTTAATTTCTATGAGCGTTGACCTTAATTGTTAAATTGCTTAAGTTAAAAATCATAAGCGCCATCGCTAATAAAAAGGTTATGAAATAGTAGGGTTTCAAGTCATGGGCAAAAATTTACTTAAGCGACTTAACAATCAAGGTCAACGCATCCAATTTCTCAGACTTGACCCTTATTCATGTAAAATAACTGTAAACTGAAAAAGAAAACAGAAGCAAACGTACGAAACTGTAATTAAACGTTTATAAATGCGTTATTAAGAGTATTTTGGAAAATTCACCGACGTATTTAGGAGTTGCCTTTTTTCAAAAATACACGAAACAACTCAGATAATACTTCTCATATAAGAAAAGAGAACAGAATAATTCAGGTTTTTTAGACTGTTTATATTATGCTAAATATATTGAAGTTTCACAAACATTTCAATAATTCAAATATGTCTGCTTCACAAAGTATTTAAATAATATCTGATGCTATACCTGAACTAGTAAAATAACTTGAACAATAGTTAGTAAATCTTATTGAAAGTTTCTCCTTCCAATCTTAAGATTGATTAATATAGATTATTCTACTCGACGTTTCGGCTTATGCATTTTTCAAGGTCTATGAACGTCACAGGTTACAAAATTGATTTTAAATTATAGTGACCAAAGAAATATAAAACCACAACAATATAATGGAACAGTGCACGGTGAAGCGTACTAAAAGTATTGTTGAACGGGTTAGAGTCGTAGATCATAAAAGTAAACGTTAAAAAAACAAGAGGGAATCCTCAATAGCCGCGGCACTGAAATTCCTTTAGGCAGGATTAGAGTAAATTAATATATGAGACCTTTGTTTTATTTTTATTTTTTTCCATTGTTATTAGCTATATTTTTGTGCGCCAGCGATGCTGAGCGTGGGGCACGCATATACCCGATTCGATTTTATTACTCAT